GTGAAACTGGAGGCAAAGAAATGTATAAGCGCACAAAAAAAAAAAAAAAAAACATCAGCCACAGGAGGAGGAGGCTCACAGTCACAACTTGTCCCATGAATCACAAAAGGTTGCAAGTGACATTCCTGATGAAACCTGTTTTTCTGCACCACAATGTACTACAGTGGCTGTAGTACTTCGTGGTGCAGAAAAACAGGTTTCATCAGGAATGTCACTTGCAACCTTTTGTTATTCATGGGACGAACTGTCAACGGCAGACGAGCGCATCGCTGGCATAATTGGGGAGACCTCTTCGTCAGGAATTATACCTGACGGAGACAGTGAAATGCCTTCACTTTTTTTTTTTTATTATCATCATTCAACATGTAGAAAGAACGTGTAATCCATTGAGTCGATTCACATAGATAATTCACAATCATGAACCTAATCAGGATCTTAAACCTGCCAGTTGCCAACTAATTTAACTAGATGTGTTATATTTTTAATCGCTTGTCATGTTTAGGCTATATCACGTGTTTCAAAGGCATCTGCGTATTGTGTACACAACAGAGCGCAATATGAATTAAAATTGTAATTTCCAATAGTGACAAGAATTATTTATATAATTTTACACAAGCACTACGCGTGGTCAGCAGCATGTGTAGATTTTGTTAGTAGCTACGAAAAGATCGGAGCTACTAAAATATTAACGAATGCGGAGATGCACGTAAATTTCCGTCTGCGAGCAGTTTACACACAAATTCGTTCTGCTCACGTTTCATGAATGAGACCCAATGACTTTCAAATCACACCAGCCAGTATTTTATTCACAACAGAACAGAGATAACATAGCAAATGTTAAAACTGAGAAATTTTACAATTTTATCCACAAAATAAGCTCATTTAAAATTTGATGGCTGCTTCAGGTCTCAAAAAAGCTGGGACAGGGGCCTGTTTACCATAGTGTAGCATCCCCTCTTCTTTTTAACACAGAGTGGAGGCGTCTGGGCATTGAGGAGACAAGTTTCTTGAGTTTAGCCATTGGAATTTGATCCCACTCTTGTTTAATACAGGCTTCCAGCTGCTGGAGAGTTTTGGGTCTCCTTTGACAGACTTTTCGTTTAATTATGCGGCAAATGTTCTCAGTCGGTGAAAGATCAGGACTGCAGGCAGACCAGTTCAGCACATGGACTCTTCTACTATGAAGCCATGCTGTTGTAGTAGCTGCAGTAAGTGTATTTGCATTGTCCTGCTGAAGTACACAAGGCCTTCCCTGGAATAGATGTCATCTGAGGGGAGGGGAGCATTTGTTGCTCTAAAACCTTTATATACCTTTCTGCATTCATGGTGCTTTTTAAAACATGCAAGTGTCCCACACCATATGCACTAATGCATCCCCATACCATCAGAGATGCTGGCTTTTGAACTGAATGCTGATAACAGGAGGGGTGGTCTTTCTCCTCTTTAGCCCGGAGGACACAACGCCCATGATTTCCAACAAGAATGTCAAATTTGGACTCGTCTGACCACAGGACACTTTGCCACTTTGCTACAGTCCATTTTAAATGAGCCTTGGCCCACAGAATACGGTGGCACTTCTGGATCAATGCTCAACAATGGCTTCCTTTTTGCATGATAGAGTTTTAGGTGGCATCTGTGGATGGCACGGCGGGCTGTATTTACAGGCAGTGGTTTCTTGAAGTATTCCTGGGCCCATTTAGTAATGTCAATGACAGAATCATGCCGGTGAGTGATGCAGTGGCTTCTGAGGGCCCGAAGATCATGGGCATCCAGTAAAGGTCTTCGGCGTTGTCCCTTATGCACAGAGATTTTTCCAGTTTCTCTGAATCTTTTGATGATGTTATGCACTGTACATGATGAGACCTTCACGTTGAGACCACGACGTTCAGGAATATTGTTTTTTAAGTATTCCACAATTTTTTTTAGGCAAGCCTTCACAAGTTGGAGAGACTCTGGCCATCTTTACTTCTGAGAGACTCAGCCTCTCTAAGACATACCTTTTATAGCCAATCATGTTACACACCTGATGCCAGTTAACTTAATTACTTGCTAAATGTCCTGCTGCAGCCAGAAAATTTGAAATAAGCTCATTTGTGTGATAAAAATGTAAAATGTCTCAGTTTCAACATTTTAAATGTTATCTATGTTCTATTGTAAATAACATATTGGCTCATGTGATCTGAAAGTCATTGCATTTTGATTTTATTCACAATTTACACTTCGTCCCAACTATTTCGGAATTGGGTTTGTAATTTCAATGCTGAATTTTCATGAAGATTTTTTGTGTTTGTGGCCCTTACTCTGAAGTAAAATTATGAAAAGAACTCAAATATGATGGAATTCTAAATGCTGCAAGTGTCCTGTATAATTATAGCCATTTGCCCCATTTCTGTGAGGCTCAGATCTTGAATTACAAAGCCTAAAATCAGGCAAAACATAAATAGCCATATCTGGCTTCTGCACAATAGGGTTAATGATGTGTGTTTACAGCACTTAAGAACAGGTAAAAAATAACTTTACCTTATTTTCTGTTCCTTCCACACAATGCAGTTAAGTTGGCCTACACAATTTTTTGAGGTAATCAGTTTCCACAAAACACCACTATCACCACCACTATCAGGGTTTACAGTGCAGTGTGGGTGAGAGTAATCTGTACCTTAATATGTTGAACAACAACCTTTCTGAACTTTAGCAAGGATGATTCTCAACATGTTGTTGTCTAATAAATATTTCTATATGGATGAATTTATATGAATGAGACAGGGGAATTCATTAATGGAATCGTATTCACCTAAATGTCAGATGCATCCAAAAGCCAAGGTAAAAATGTACTGCGAAGATAGGACTATCAGCTTCCAAGCACCTATGGCTGCACTCCTCTGGATTTTCCAAGCATTAAAATGCATTTGTGATACTCTCTGCCATTCATTTTTCCTGACAGAGGAAATTGAAGTTGCCATTTCTCATACATTTATTAGCATACTAATTTCCAAATGTCTTGCAGTCTCACATCCAAACTCCACAAAAAAATGACTGCGGATGCATTGCATCCAAGCTGAAGTCAGCTGTGGCCTCACATTTAACAGTCAATTGCGCTTGTGTGGTAAAATAATACATCTGGCCAGTGGTTTTTTCACATTTAAATAGTTTGATGAGCAATCAGCACATACTGTGGCAACCATTTAATAATCTACTAAGTGCAGCGACAGTTTCTGCGCATGAAAAGATAAGTAATTTAGCAAGCGTACAATTGTACAATTCCTGGGTGGCTGGGCAGTGCAGTCAAATGCTGGGTCACCCCACAACTTTTTTTTTTTTTTTTTCAATAAATAAATGTGGAATTTAATGTAAATTAAGTATTTAACATTAATGAATGAAGTATGTAACAGATGGGGAACGTGGGGGGTAAGTGCATGTATCAATGGCAGATGTGTAGGTGTTTATTGTGTCAGTTGCGGGCTTTTACATAAATGGACAAACAGACAGACAGACAGACTGACACAGATATTGATAAATCTAAGTGTAAATGTTGTGTGTGTGTGTGTGTGTGTATGTGTACATGTACATGAGTATATATCTTCATAATAGTCGCAATATATTTTTTGATATAGTAGTTAATAGGTATAATAATTATAATAAAAATAATTATTGTAGTAATAGTTGTTAAGATAGCGACACTTATTTTAAAAAAACAACGACAACAACAACCATTAATGATAATAATAATAAGAAGAAGTAGAAGATGAGGAACAATAATAATAATAATAATAATAATAATAATAGCTTTATCATTATTACAACCATAACAATAATAATAGTAAAATAAGAATAATAAGAACAATTACAATAATAACAATAAATAGCAATATTAAGTATTAAATATTAACAAGGCACCTCATCACCCCCTGCCCACCCACAGCCCTGCCTGCCCCACAACTTAAATGTGGGATGTTTGAATACAGCCTGGGGACTTTCTATTCTGTTTCTGTGGGTTTCCATTGGGTACTCCACAGTTGAAAGAAATGCATGGTGGTCCAATTGGAGAGTAAATGGCCCATAAACATGAGTGTGTCAGTGGATGGTCGGTGCCGATGCGATGGACAGACTTGATACTGTACAGGATCTTGTTGATTAAATACGAAGCCCACTGAAATGTTGATGATAACTGTCATGGCTGTTTTTGGTGTGTTGCAGTATTAAGGCAGAAGATGGAGATGCTCTGCTTCCACTTGCTGCAGATTCTCTCAAATCATGGAGGGAACGTTTCAGATATCTTGGACACTGAGGAAGGGAATTTATTGCCAGTTATTCCAAGTGTCTGTTGATTGGTCAAAGAACTTTCAAAGAGTGTGCATTGTTTTCCTATAATTGCAGACTTCTGAAGCAGTTCCAAACATTAGCCTTTTTAGACATTGAATCAACTTTCCACATTTGTGTTCCAGGCTATTAACTGGTACTGAGTCGCAAAGTATAAATGCCAGAAGTGAAGGATTTGTAGATATAGACAACATGTTTCAGTTTTTTATATGAATATTAAAATCTTTGGCGAGTAAGTTCATTATGAGCAAATAAGAGAAATTGCATCATGACAACTGCCATTTAAGTGGAATTATGACGTTGCAGAATAAGTAACCACAGCTTTTTCATTTAGACAGAAAAAAATGGGTTATCATTGCAATTATTTTTGAATAATCAGTGTTATGTCGTTGTTTACTGCTTACTTACCTCAGCAGCCAATTTATTTACTTGTATGGATAAGAGGCCACTGCCATTGTAACTCTACTGAGGTAGCACACACAATGGGACTGCTACAATGCAGAGATATTTTCAGTCGTAAGGCTGAGAATTTATTAGAAGGCACTGAACAGCAGGTGATATTGAATATAATTTCTTTTCAATAATTTCTCCTTTATTCAATCAGGAAGTCCTGCTCAGTCAGGACATCTTTTTCAAATGGAGATCTGCCCAAGAAATAAAATTTACAACATTCACATGTGGGCAGCACGGTGGCACAGTAGTTAGCACTGTTGCCTCACAGCAAGAGGGTCATGGGTTGGAATCCTTTCTGTGTGGAGTTTGCATGTTCTCATTGTGTTCGTGTGGGTTTCATCTGGGTACTCCAGTTTCCTCCCACAGTTCAAAAGACATGCATGTTAGGCTAAATGGAGATGCTAAATCGCCCATACTGTAGGTGCGACTGTGAGAGTGAATAGGGTATGAATGGTGTGTGCGCCCTGCGATGGATCGGTGAGCTGTCCAGGGTGTGTCCCTGCCTTTCGCTCAGAGTCAGCTGGGATAGGCTCCAGCTCCCCTGTGACCCTAGTGAGGAAGAGGCGGTACAGATAATGGATGTATGGATGGACATTCACATGTAAAAAAACATAAAATACACATAAAATATCATATACAGACACAGATAACTACAGACGTTGACCTAATACTGTTATTAAGGTGTTATACCATCACAGGACAAGAACAGAGTAATGATTTAAAGAGGAAGATATGAGAAGGACAAATGAGATATGTTGGAAGGACAAATGCAAAGACAAATCCGAAAAATAAAACAATGTTGGCACTTAGCTACACTCCTTCTCCCTGCATTGATAAAAGGCAGAGTACAGAAGTGCAAGAAATGGCCCATTACTAAAGGCAAGATCCTTTTCTCAGGGTCTGGTTGCTTTTTTGGAGATGTTTTGAAGGTTAATTGTTAGTATTTGCCGAGTCCCTGTCTGCAATAGAAGTCCTGTGAGTCTGCCAAAATTTCCCAGACTTGATGTGAATGGTTGCAGGATGATTTATTGCCTGCTTTTCATGGGCCAGTAGCTGGACAAATTTGCTTCTAACAGTGGATGAGAGAAAACAAACCATTGCAGTGCGCAACTGTTTCCAGTAATTTCAGCTTCGGCTATGACAATGCTGAGAATGCCTTTACAAAATCAAACTAAACAAATACCTCAAGTTGAAAAGTTGGACAGCACTGGCCATGGGCAAAAAAAAAGAAAGAAAAAGACTCATGCTAGTTTTATCTGATGCATGTGAAACATAGTTTTTGACTACAAGTAAAAAAAAAAAAATGTATTAGAATGCATCTACAACACTGAATCAACAATACACTTGCACATTATATTAGCACTTTCCTGGTCACAAAAGACTAAACGATTGGAACTCAGCAAATACACTCAAGGCAATCAAGCCAAATTCAAACAAGAAAAAAAAAAACACATAGCAAAACTCAGTACTGCCGAAGGGAGCAGATTCAGACTGTAAACATGTTCTCCCTAAATCCATGCCAGTACAATCTTGACTGATTTTTTTTTTCTTTTTTGGAAGAAAAGTTAAGCAATACTTCATGTTTTTTCAATACACACCATGCTGATAGTAAACCTCTCTCTCTTTTTCTTTTTTTTTTTCATGCGCAGCTACACAGCCGTAAATGTAATCCGCGGAATATGTGTTTCAGGTGTTTTCCATTTACATCAAAAGCCCATTGGTTTAATTCTCAGCAGGTGCCTTTGCGGTCCATTTACACCCATAAAAATGGGAGTTTATTTATGAAGTACATCCTGGGGAATTATTACATGATTGTGCTTCTATTGGTCATATAACTTAACTGTTTATTTACCTAAATGCACCAATGCTTGAAGCAAACAAATATGCATTGATGTTGAATTTAATCTCTACCCACAGCTTCCCAGAAAGTCCTGCGACCCTGGAAAAGATGGCTCATGAGTAATCCGCTGTAGTTATGGGACTAAGTGAAGTGTGCATGGAACAGAGTTTTACTGAAGAGGTATGAAGATTTCAATTGGTGTTCTGATTAAACATTGCATCAGGGTCACCTGTTACCATTTACCCCAGCAACCATTACAATCCCGGGTGCATAGACAAATTAAAAATACCATTATCCCCTTGATGACCCACTTTCCAATGCCTAATCCAACACAAATGTTTGCTCTTCTGAGACACGGTCTGAGATGTGTGCCGGGGCAGAAAATGGAAGGAAAGAGGAAAAGACAAAATTGCAAGTGACAGAAGATTTACTGTTCCTTAATGCTGCTAAATCAACACATGCTCAGAGAGAACAAGAATAAGACATAAATGCCAGGACAGCACTGTTGTTTTTATGACCCTGCTCTACATTTCACAGCTTATTGAGTTCAATGAAGTAATCACTTTCAAGCTCTGCTGGCAATTAAATTCCTGACAACGCTATGCCTGAACAGGCCTGATCCCGGCATCTAAACTACAAACATCCCTGTCATCATCAGGTCTTTTTTTCTAATTATTTGTTTTCTTTATTTACTAACATTTTAGGTTTTCTGTAAGGCCAATTCTCCCTTGCAACATGAACTGAAGGAATCAATGCGGTGCTTGATTGCTTTGTGTTGAATATGTGCTTCCTGTTTTGCGCTAGAGGAGAGATGGAGAGGGAAAAGTCATTTGGAGGGAGGGGGAGGATTTACATTTGTTAAGATTTTTCCTGATCTTAACTCAGGTTTAAAAGCTTAGATCAAAGGAAAGGTTAGATATTTGCTCATTCAGTGAAAGCTTTGATGAGGTTTCCACCTTTTTTTTTCGCTCTAGCTCAGGGCTGCCCAAACCTGTTCCTAGAGAGCTACCATCCTGTAGGTTTCTGCTCCAACCCTAATTCAACACACCTGATTCAGCTCATTAGCACCTCGTCTGTAACTGGGAAAGCAGGTGTGGTTTGCTTTGGTTGGTGTGATAACCTTCAGGATGGTAGCTCTCCAGGAACAGGGTTGGGCAGCCCTGCTCTAGCTATTCGGCTGGCAAATAGACAAATTGGGGAGCTAATCAGATGAAAAAAAAAAAGCAATTGACTTGCTAGGCGAGTTGGGAGAGTTTCAATCGAATGATGCAAGTTTGTCGAGATTCCGCCCCAAATTATCCTTGACTTCTTCCCAAGTCCAGCCCTCCATTGAAGGTACGTGGCTAATCTGCTTACTCTCTCACATTGTGACAGCAGGCATGGAGCACATCTGCACTACAGGAGGAATTTGCATCTGACATGATTTGCCAACCCTACATAAGTAATTTTCGCAAGCAAAGTATATCATATTTGTATTTGTAAGCAAAATTGTTGGATGGCTGGTGCATCAACTCGAATGTTGATAAGTTTGTTTGATTGAAGGCGTTTCATGCGCAATGAGCAACAAATGGAGGGATTTTCCCAAACTCGCATACATGCTCAAGTTATAATCGAAGTCAGCCTTGGCGATATGAAAATGGCCTTTTCTGACTATGTTATATTATGTTACATTACGTTAAGTTACGTTAGATTACGTTGCGTTGCGTTTTGTTATGTTATGATGGTGCAGCCAGTCATACCCAGGGAATGCCTTTTCTCAGAGAGCTCGCCCAATATCTTGGCTACATTGGCTAACATTGAGTTTATAGGATTATACATTCTCAACTGGGCTCTATTTTTACTGAATTTAGTTTACATAAGATCCCCTGGTTACATACAATACTGACTGTCCGAGTTTAAATGTTTGTGCTCCTGTGTGATATTGCCTCCAAACAACTCTATCCTCCAAATAATGCAAAGACCATCTGCTAAACACTGCCGATTCATTCGTCCTTTTAGTCGCAACAAGTAATGCCATTTTCTGACAGGCCTGTGAAAATGTCATAAACTTAAAAAATGTCCGCACTAGTAATAAAAAGGACCCTCCTCTTCCTCTCTCATTTCTTGAATGCAAAGTTGGCACATATTCCTCTATGTGGTGCTCTAAAAACTGTTGTTCTCAACGTCATTCCTGGAGGCCCAGTTTGTACACTAGGTTTTTTTAATTATCCTTAGATATAATGAACAAAATATGTATGAATGTCTCTGTCAAAATGTGGCTTAAGAGGGTAAATACTTGCTCTTAAAAATTAAATGCACCTAATTAAGGCAAATGAACCGTTTGTTAAAATCACATGATTGCAGAGGTCGTTGGAACAAAACCCAGAATTCAAACTGGGCCCCCAGGATTGACGCTGAGAAGCACTGCACTGAAAAGCATGATTAGCAAAGAATTGATCCCCAAATCTGGTTCTTGAATCCAAATCCAGCACTGTTTCCTTGTCCTCCAGCAATCCTAAGAACGATTCTAGCCACAAATTGACCAGACAGTCAATTTACCTTAGTCTTAGGTACAGGTGGGTGGGAAATCTGCAGTTCTTGGCCCTAAAGTACTGTGATTTGGGAAACAGGCATTTATTTCTTGTCAAGTGTGTTTTTGAATGATCTCACAGGATATGAGAAAGGTACAAGGTTACACAGACAGTATAACCTGTGCCCCCCCAAAAAATGACAAAGGAGTTGTGCGTTAACCCCTTAAACTCTAACTTTTCCCTTAAGTAGGTTCAAAGTCAGATTTAAATAAAACATTTTATATATACAACGTGTATGTGTGTGTGTGTGTGTGTGTGTGTGTGTGTGTGTGTATGTATATATATGTAGGACAATGTCACATACATATTTTGCATCTGCCAGTTGCTGCACTGAAGCTGCATCACACTGATATTGAGAGAATTATTCAAATCCAGGACGCAGTGTTTTTATTATGGCCACAGCATTACATCAAATGGAAAATATCTTATACATGATATAAATATCTTGTACATGATTTTATACACATTTCCCTGTAATTCAGCAGGACATATTTTGGATTGTTGAAACCTTGGGATCTCCACTAGAATTTAAAGTAGGCCTGAAGTTTCACAGGATATAATACAGCAGCTGCATTGGACTGACCCATATATGGGTCCATAGGTTTTATGGGGTGAAAAACGCAGCTATATAGTCTTTCATTTCTCTAGACCAGGTGTCTCGCAGCCTGATCCAGGAGAGAAGCAAGGTCTGTTGGTTTTTATTTTCACCTGAATATCTGCAACTAATTCAGTCCTAATAAACCAGATGAGCTGACTACACACTACATCACTTTAATTAATGAAATAATTGTTGAACAGCTACATTAGCCAACAGACCATTTGGGCAGATAGGACTTGAATTTGAAACAGCTCCACAGATAGAAAGTGCTGTATGCTTCAGTGGTGGTCTGTGT